AAACGAGTTAGTTGGACAGCTCTCAGTTTCAGGTTTGAGTAAATTATTGGAAGAAAAACTTGCTAATTTAGCAACAAAAAATGACTTGAGTGTACTTTCAACTCAAATTAATCTGCTGAAAGAAGAAAACGTTAGTTTGCGTGAGGAGGTTATGTCTCTGAGATTGAGTGAGAAAAAAATCATGGACAAACTCACTGATCTAGAATCAAGGTCCCGTAGGAATAATCTGATTTTTAAAGGCTTAAAAGTTTCTCCTCAAACCAAGGACTTTAGGCAGTTAATTGGTAAATTCTGCAATGACAAGTTTGGAATGAGTGATACGTTATGGGTTAACCGTGCTCATCCACTAGGGAAGGACAGAAACTTAATAATCGCACACTTTCCCGATGATCATGATATACAATATATAATGGCGAGGGTGAGGGATCTTAAGGGCACGGGTGTTAGTGTATTTCGTGATTTCCCGCTAGAGGTGCGATACAAACGTGCGAGACTAGCCGCAGTGCGGGATGAACTAGAACGCGTTGGTGGAAAGACTAAAATTCCAATGATTTTCGACCATATCATCGTGAAGAACTGCAGGTTCACATGGGACCAAGATCAACTAATGGCTGGAGACGAGGACGGAGCAGAGAAGTTAAGCAAGATGTTTAAACATGACTTCAGAGGATTTATAGAGAAGCTTAAGCAAGATGGTCCCACGAAAGCTAAGCCTCAACAAGCTCCTGATATTCCATCCAGAGAGTCGACAGCAGCATCCTTGCCTCTGGACCACGGGTCGACGATGAGTCCGACCACGCCTGCTGTGAACAGAGGAGCCGCCTTAAGCTACGCCGCCGCCACCAATGGAGTGTGAGGACGCCACGCCGATCTGGAGGACAACGCAGTACGAGCAACAGAGCAGCATCCGGTAACCAGCAGACACTTGAATGTATTGTGTTATAATGTTTCTGGTCTTAAAAATAAGGTAAATGATTTTGATTTTTTAAATTTGATTGTTAATTATGATTTAATATTTTTACTTGAGACGTTTATATCTGAACGGGAAAAAGATTATGTTATCCAACGATTAAAAAATTTTGAGGTATATTTTGTGTTTGCAACTAGGGTTTCAAATTATGGTAGAAATGTAGGAGGTATAGTTTGCTTGAAAAACTTAAATTCACCTTTTGCTAAGAACATTAAACTTGTACAAGATAGTGGCTATAATTTGTTTGAAATTCACAATAGTTTGCCTGAGAATCGTAAAATCTGTGTTATGCCTGTGTATCTTAATTTTAATTCATGGGAATATGATTTTACTAATTTTGAACTGTTCTTGAATACAAAGTATAGAGACAATTTACTGATATTAGGTGATATGAATGGTAGAATTGCTTGTGAACAAACATTTTCTGATAGGATAATAGAAACTCTAAACAATAATTTAAGTGATGTAAGGAAATCAAACGATTCGGTAATTAACACTCGAGGTAGAAAACTTTTAAGGGCTATAGAAAATCTAGGTTTAGTTATTTTGAACGGCAGGAGCAAAAGTGATGCAAGCGGTAATTTTACATTTATAGGGGCGATGGGGAGTTCAGTAATCGATTTCGCCATGGTATCATTAAATTGCTTAAATTTTATCCACGATTTTAAAGTTGTGAACCATCCAGGGTCAGATCACCTCCCAATTGAACTGAGTTTGAAATGTGTGAGTCCGGTTGCAGTTGGTGGTGAGGGTTCGGAGGGTGTGAAAACACTTCCATTGTTACCTAAATTGAAATGGAAGGCTAAAGACGAAAGATACTACCGAGAAAAAATTGATGTAAACATTCAGACTGTTGAGATAGGCGAGTGTAATCAGGATAATATATCTAATTTAATTAAAATAATAAAAGACTCAACTGATAATGCTACAAAGCAACAAAAACATAATCTTACTTTCAGGCAACCATGGTTTGATATTGATTGTTTTTTACAACGAAAGAGAGTTTTTAGGTCATTAAATGTATTTAGAAAAAACAGCGAATATCAGTTTAGAATTGGATATATTAACGAGAGCAGAAAGTATAAGTCAATGTGCCAAGATAAAAAGAGAGCATATTTAGAATCTCAAATAAGTAGTATTACGCAAGCAACCGATACAAATAAGTTTTGGAGGGCAGTTAATAGCTTTAAAAAGAAAGATAATAACAGGATTGGAAGCATCGCGCCCTTGGACTGGGTAAGACATTTTAAAACGTTGCTCAACCCTCCATTGCTGACTGGAAAGATACAGTTTGCCGAACCATTGATTTTAGATGCATTCTTAGATAGCGACTTTAGTATGGGAGAGTTGAAAAACGTCCTAAAAAAGGTTAAATGTAACAAGGCCCCAGGGATTGATAGAGTCCCATATGAATATTTTAAGTATGCTCCAGATTCATTTCATATCAAATTATTATCTATTTTTAATAATATTTACAGAACTGGGAATGTTCCAGAATCGTTTAAAAGGTCGATAGTGTATCCATTACATAAAAAAGGAGATATTAACCTAGTTGAAAACTACAGAGGATTGTCGTTTATAGACTGTGTAGGAAAGATTTTTATCAGTCTAACAAATAACAGATTAGTAAATTGGGTCAACGGTAAAGGTTTGTTCACGGAATTCCAGGCAGGATTTCGCCAAGGTTACTCGACTATAGATAACATTTTTAATCTCACTTGTATAGCTCATCTGCAATTAGCGGAAAAAAAGGGTAAATTATTTACTTTTTTTGTGGATTTCTCAAGTGCATTTGATACGATAGATAGGGAGGCTTTAATTTATAAAATGTCTTGTATGGGTGTGTCGTCAAAATACAGAAATATGCTAAAAAATTATTATCAAGGCACAAAAGCAACAGTGTGGTGTCAGGAGGGAATTACTGAGCACTTCAGCACCTCCATGGGTTTAAGGCAAGGTTGTATATGTAGCCCAACGAATTTTGCTATTTTTATAAACGACTTGCCAGATGTACTAGAGGGAGGATGTTGTTATGGTGGAGTAAGAGTCAATGTCCTGATGTATGCTGACGATATCGTTCTCTTATCTCCAACTGCAACCGGCCTTCAACACATGATTAAACGATTGGAGAATTACTGTGAAACTTGGAATTTACGCTTAAATTTAGCTAAATCAAAAATTATGGTTTTCAGAAAAGGTGGGAGGCTTGGGTCCAGTTCTAAATGGTGGTACAAGGGTGAACAAATCGAAATTGTAAACAATTATAAATATTTAGGAGTAAACTTTACAAGTTCACTCTCGTGGGAAATGCATTTTAAAGAAAAATCGTCAGCTTCCAAATTAGCTGTTAATTTAATCTGGAGTAATTTAATAAGTAATAATCAAGTGCCGATTAATGCAAAAATAGTGTGTTATAATTCAATAGTTAGAGCGTTGCTGAGTTATGGAGCACAAGTTTGGGGTTTTATTAAGAGTAAAACGGTTGAATCTGCTCAAAATAACTTTGTCAAAAAATTATTTAGATTGCCTCAAAATACTCCAAATTACGTATTACACCTAGAATGTCAGTTTGATCAGGTTTATTTTTACACATTAAGTTTGCACATTGGTTATATTATTAGAGTATTGTTTTTACCAGTGAATAGACTTCCTTATATCTTGGCTAGGCAGATAATTTTGAAAAAAATATTTTGGTACAGGGAGATGTTAAAAATGGGCGAAAGACGGGGAGTAGCGTTGGACGTCGATTTTAACAGATTGCAAATTTTTCAATCTCGATTGTTTGAATTATTAGAGTTAGAGAGAACGGCTTGGCGACAGGATTGTCTGGGTTCGGCATTGACTAGTCGTTATCACCAGCAGTATCTGAACCTTGACCTCCACCTTGGAGATAGATCGTTCCTTTTTGCGGACCTAAATGTTAAACTTATGTCCTGGATTATAAAAGCTAGAACAGAGTTAATAAATCTTAACTATAAGCCCTGGATGGAAAATCAAATTTATTTATGTTCACTATGTAATCTCAACCGAGATGAAACGGTGTACCATTTTATAGCAGAATGTCCAATTTTAAAAAATGTACGTCAAATTTGGTTTAACAAGTTATATTTAAATGAATATGAGTTTTTTGAATTTTTAAATGGCAAAGATTGGCGGGCATTGGGAAATTATCTTAAAGAGGCGTGGTGTAAAAGGTGGGAATTGATAATGGAGTTTAATTATTAAATTTAATAATTGAGATATCAATACAAAAGTGGAAAAATTTATGTACTTAAAAATGTATAAAATATTGTTTGTTAAGTATTTGTCTAAGTAAAAATAGGCTTGTTTTTATTTTATTTTTTATTATTACTTATATTTTATTGCTGTTTGTAGAATAAATTCAGATTCTTAATAGGCTATATTTTAAATTTTATTTTTGATTCATTTGCTAACTGATCCTTTTTACTATGTAGTGCTATTTGTGTATTTGTTACTAGAAATCAGTTTATTTAATGAATTATAGTTTGTGATTTATGGACTCTTTTTTAATGTGTTTTAAAATATTGTAAAATCAGTATGTCAACCACAAAACAGACGGTCTTTGACCATTGTTCTTTGTGTTTATGTAAAAACACTGTATTGATATTTTATTTCAATAAACACTTTTTCTTCTTCTTCTTCTTCTTCAAGGATAGAGAAGTTTGCCGCTGCACGTGCGTAGGTGCAGAGTCACGTCTTTATAGTAGTTGTGTGTTTACGGTGTATTCACAAAATGGGTGCATAATGACCCCGCCCACCCACAAAACCACTAAAAGTCACACCTAACCCCAAGGTCATACCCCCAAAACCCAACTGGCCCATGATTGATGAAGACTCTTATGATTAGTGTAATCAAAGTCTGAATTAATCAGCCTTATGTTTTAATAACAAAGAGTAGACTGTAGATGTTTGGAACAATTTACTGGAGAGGGACACATCACCAACTTCTCTTCCCTCGTCATCATGGACAACCTGGTTCTCACCCATGTGATTGAAATATAATACATACCTGAGATGAGGGAAGTTTTGCTGCCACAGTTTGCATTCCTCTCTCAAAGGGCTATGGATAGGCAGTTCTTGTCTTCCATCATGGTACAGAGTCTGTTCTACCAGGTGCAGCTGTGCCTGTAGTGATGCGGTCAGGTCCCCTTCCAGCTCCTGTCATCACAACAACCTGATGTAAGGATAAACTTTAGATGATAATCTATTGAAACTATCACCCGAAGCACGGCAATAAAAAAATACCCCCGCCGCAGCAAACCTGCAGACTAAGCGAATTTCCATTTGACTGATTGGATTTACACTGAAATGTCTACTTAAAAATATAACATTTATTCCCTATTTAAATAGAATTAGTTTAACAAGTACTTAGGTTTGCTGCATCAAGGAGGGTAAAACTGTTCTTTTTTTGTAAAATGTTAATAGTTGGTAAGAAATAAAAATATTTTTCAAATTTGATCAAAATATGTTCATAAACAAGCAAACTACAACAGTTTACTTATTCTCCATAAGAATAACATTGGAATTTTAAATTTACAATTTTTTGGAATTTTCTCCGTAACCATTAGGCGCGTAATAACGCTTCAATATACTAAATTATTTGTTTTTTTAAGCTCTACAAAATGGTTTGAAAAGAAATTGCTAAATTTTATGTTTTTTGGGTAAAAAATAGGAAAAACCTATTTTTACCCCATAAAACCCCCCGTAAACCCCGTTCCCATGGTCCGATCATGCTGGATTGCGAACTAGTTCGAATAAACGTAGGTTTACACGTTTGTACCAAATTTCATCAAAATCGGATCATTTTTGCTCGAGTTATCGTGCTAACGGACACATATATATATAAATATACTAGGAGTACGCTCCGAAGTCGCGTATGAGAATGAACGAAGAAGACAATTCCATGTACATATAATCTGTCTTTGGCCCCTCACCCTGCCCCTGCAGCGCGGCGCGCCGCAAGTTTGTGCGGCGGCAGTGGCCAGACTAACTGCGATTTTTAGCGAATTTCCCATATAGGGAATAAGCTATTACCGTAGTACTCATGGTAAGACCTGGACGCGGGACCGATTTTTTTTTTCGTTTTGAGGTCCCTAGAGGCCAAAAACACCATCCGTTCAAATTCATATATATATATATATATATTTATATATATATATATGTATATATATATATATATGTGTGTGTGTGTGTGTCCGTCAGCACGATAACTCGAGCAAAAATGATCCGATTTTGATGAAATTTGGTACAAACGTGTAAACGTACGTTTATTCGAACGAGTTCGCGATCCAGCATGATCGGACTATGGGAACGGGGGTTTACGGGGGGTTTTATGGGGTAAAAATAGGTTTTTCCCATTTTTGACCCAAAAAACATAAAATTTAGCAATTTCTTTCCAAACCATTTTGTAGAGCTTCAAAAAACAAATAACTTAGTATATTGAAGCGTTATTATGCGCCTAATGGTTACGGAGAAAATTCCAAAAAATTGTAAATTAAAAATTCCCATGTTATTCTTATGGAGAATAAGTAAACTGTTGTAGTTTGCTTGTTTGTGAACATATTTTGATCGAATTTGGGAAATGTTTTTATTTCTTACTAACAATTCACATTAAAAAAAAAAAAAACAGTTTTACCCTCCCTGATGCAGCAAACCTAAGTACTTGTTAAACTAATTCTATATAAATCAAGAATAAATGTTATATTTTTAAGTAGACATTTCAGTGTAAATCCAATCAGTCAAATGGAAATTCGCTTAGTCTGCAGGTTTGCTGCGGCGGGGGTATTTTGTACTACGGGCGTAATGCTCTTTTATTTTAGAAATAATTCTAATGCCGCATATATCTATCCAAAAATCAAATATAAATAGCATAAGCTCTACTTTTGTATATCATAAATTATAACGTCAGTGGTATTTGTTATGTTTTTGACTGGGGATGTTAATCTAAACCTTGGACCTGTTAATTCACAAGGTACCGGTAATAATTTTTATAGCCCCAAGGCATAAAGTAACTGGGGTCAGTTTGACACTAAAAATTGTCCAACCTAGGGCCCGTGCCCCTGGGCATTTGCCCCCTTAGCCCCCCCTAACGGTGGTCCTGTAATCATGTGACAGAGTGATTAAAAATCATGGGCTGAGTATCACTTCTTTAAATTAATAATGAATTATGAACATATTTTTTGAAACTAACGTATTCTATGATGCACAACTAAATTGTGTGTGACACATGGCCAAATAAGTTGAATGTATTTCAATGTATTACTGTACAGTACCAAAAACATTAATTGCCCTACTCTGCTTAGTAACGGAGTTGTTACTAAGCTACAACTACTTACTATAGCTAGCGAACTATGAAGGGTTCTTGAGGTTTTGTATACAAATTACAACAACACTTTCAGACAATAACACATAAGTTACGGACCCGTCCATACCACGCCATATTATCATCCGAACCGCTAAATGAACCTCAGATTCGTAATTTTAACCTTCTTTTTACAGCCACTTAGGAATCTCACCGACAAAAACCAATTGCATTTTTGGATTCAGCGTGAAAGAAACTGTGATTAAACATCTAAAAAGTACATCATATCCCAATGATGATATACTAAATAATTGCCGTGAAGTATTTTTTTCGGATTAATACTTAACATTACATATCGGTATTTATCCTATTAAATTTGTGTATTAAAAATATTCTTTATTTTTCCCCGATGTAGCCTAAACATAAAATTGATTAATGGTTAGTTCGGTTTTTGTTTATATTTCATAAATTAAACTACTGTCTAGGACTATAATTTACCAAAGGAAACAAAACAAATAGGCCTAGGTCACCTAATAACAAAACAACTAAGGATAATAAAACCAAATGCTTCGTTAATATTTTTGTTATTTTTTTTTTATTTATATCATGTGGTATCTTAAGATTTACTCAAATTTGATACGATAGTTAAGTTATTATTTAACCGATTTATAGTTATGTTAGGTACCTTTTTATAAACTCATGAAAAAGATCAAAGTTAACTTACCGTAGCCAATGTCTTTTTTAATTTATCTTTTAAACAAATCATACACCAAAGATTGATGTTGTTTTTTTTAGAAATGCTACCTTTTCTTACCTTTGTTGTTAGGCCTACCTATTATAAACTAAAAAGTAAGCTACACAGTGTAAAGAGTATCCTTAAAAAACATGTTAGGCATAAATTGTTCAATATTGAAAGAGACCTAGACCTACATGATAAATGGATTAAGGTAAGTTGCATCACCTAGAAATTAACTGATTACGATATTTTATAGCCTAAAATTATAGGCTAGGTATTTTATCGTAGGCTAGGTTCCCTGCGAAACTGTCCCCCTGAAAATGGGTTTAACTTAACCTAAGTAGGCCTACTAAGGACACAGGTCTAGTAGCTAGAAGAAAGTTATACATTACCTTTTTAGGTCTAGGTAGGCTTATAAAGGCCTATTTGCTTGATTGGATTTACACTAAAATGTCTCCTTAAAAATATAAAATTTAGGCTAATACCTATTTAAATTCAATTAGTTAAACGAGAACTAAGGTTTGCTGCAACAGGGAGAGTAAAAAAGTGTTTTTTGTTGTAGGTTACCTAAAATGTTAGTAGTTTAGTAAGAAATGAATGTATTTTCAGATATTCAACCATATACAAAGCACTTTGATCAAAATATGTTCAAAAACAAGCAAACTACCGGTAGGTACAACAGTTGAATTATTCTACATAAGAATAATATAGCTATTTAAAATTTACAATTTTTTGGAATTTCCTCCATACAGTAACTATTAGATGCATGATAACGCTTCATTATAATAGGCCTACTAAATTATTTGTTTTTTTAAGCTCTACAAAATGGTTTGGAAAGAAATTGTAAAATTTTGTGTTTGGTCAAAAATGAGAAACCCCTATTTTTACCTCATAAAACCCCGTTACTATAGTTAGATCATGCTGGTTTGCGAAAATAAATGTAGGCCTAGCCTAGGTTTACACGTTTATACCAAATTTCATTAAAATTGGATATTTTTTGCTTGTTATTGCTTACCGGTAGGGCCTATAGGTTAGACCTAAGTTATTAAAATTCATCCAACCGAATCATATGATCTTAGCCTATTATAATTTGATAAAATATCGCAGGTTTTAGCGGAACTCCACCCATGCCTAGGCCTACTAACTTAAATGAGAAATTCTGAGGTTAACTGACTTTTAGAACACTCGTTACATAAGTTTAAACTATTTATAGATTCAGATGAGCTATGAATGCCTTAAACCTAACTTAGGCCTGCATGTAGTAGGCTTTTTACAGAAACTTGACTGCAGACAGATAAGTTAGGTCTACCTAACTTAACTCACCCTAGGCCTACTTAACCTGGAGTTTCCTAAGTTAGGCCTAAGTTAGGCACAGAAACGGATTGCAAAACACAGACTCTTCTTGGCTGCACTTAAGTTTAAACATCCTACACTAATTCGAATGAAAAATATTGATAGGCCTAAGATACAAATTATTTGATTATATCGATTACTGTAAGTATTTCATTCTGTTAACGTAGTTAACTTACCAAACTTGATATAAGTTATCGAATGGAATAATCGATAACTTATACCCATCGATATTCATTCGAATGAGTGTAGGACGTAAACGAAAGTGTAGCCCTCCTCATATCTTAGGTAGGCATCTTACAGTCATTTAAGTTAATGTTAAGTTAACTGTTTCCCTAGAAGCGCGTCGGAAGACGTTAAATCGCCTTTTCGCACTCCGCGCCTAGGAAAACCCGGCTTAAGGCCACAGATAGGCTAACTTATCCAAGTTAAAGGTTGGAATAAATTTTTCTATTAACTTAGGCCTAGGTCCTTTAACTTAAGCTAATTAAGTTAGACTGTAGAAAAGGCTAAGGTAGGCTAGGCCTATTACCTTTGATTGCAGGCTACCCTAACTTCATAGGGAACACTCTGTCAGTTACACTTGATAAGTTAGTGTAACTAAGTTAGGCCTAAGTTAAATAGCTTATAACTTACCGGGGGTACAGTTTCTTAACTGGGCTATGCTAATATTGATTGAAACTATCGAATTGAAAATAGGCCTATTGATAAATAATCGATATTTTAAAACATTTTTATCATAAAATAAAAGTATTATAGCCTAACCTAACC